GGTCAGATTGTTGTGACTATACCTAAGCAATAAAAATAGCTCTTTTTTTCTACTCCTCCAATCCATGTGCTATTCGGGAAAAGTCTGATGCAGAGTTTTTACTGTCTATCTCAGAAGATCGAAGCTCACTGAACGATTGAAAAATTGGCATAAAAACAAACATCAGTGATGAGCAGCTAAGCCACTTACGCTTTGCAACTGATACTGCTTTCGTCGCGAACAGGACTCGCTAAATGATTGAGACTTGTTAATGAATTTTTTTTTTTTTGCAGTTTCCAATAACAGCACTACGAGAAGTGAAAATGTTGCAGAAACTGAAGCATAAACATATCACCGAGCTAATCGAAATATGTAGTAGCAGGGGTAAGTTTCATAACAGAAAATTTTTATCTTTCATTGATTGCATGTAAGTACGTGTAGTAACTGTCAACAGGACTGATTATTCACTTGAATGGCCTTCAAATTTTTATTGAGGTTACTTTCTTCCTTCTAGTTAGTTTTACTTTTCTTTCTACTGCTGCAACATTAATCTTCTTTACACTGACCTTTATTTTCCTCCCTTCCTTCATCTTCTTTCGGTAGTCCGCACGTTCTTTTTAATATAGAGGAATGGGGCACTGTACTGATGATTCTCACCTCATTCCGTACCGTTTCTGCCGTCTGTATGTACAGTTTCGGGTTAAAACACAGATAGGCTGCCAAGTTATTGTAAATACAGTACTCCCAGTTTTTCATTAATTGTCAAAATTCCGTTGCGTTCCTCTCAACGGTGGGCTAATAACACCAAACATGTTAACACACAGAGGATTTCAGACTCCCCTTCTTTTCCAACTTTAAAATTTCTCCAACACTTTCATTGGAAAACTTAATTATTAGAGATATAGTGCTTGCAAAAGAAAAACTCTTAGGTCAGGAGAGTCATAAATGCGACCGGCATACCCGTATATTCTAGTAACATAGAGGGATCTATCCTGTAAGCAGATTGTAGCAACCAGGTTGACTTTGAAAGCCTATCTAACGAAAGGGACGCGATAGATGATAAGTCTGGATATTCACGGTGGTAGTTGTCTGCGCAAGTCTTATATATTCGAACAGCGCTGA